GTAACCACAAACCTTAAAAATTCATCATTTTTTGGTACATGTACACAGAAGATGGATTATCATTTGTTGGAGCAGGAACAGCTACAGGCTCTGACGCCTCGTTATGTTGCAATGAAAGTTGTAACTGTCAAACCGGATCGGAAACATTTGCTTTTCATATCATCAGTGGCATTGTTAAATCTATATAGAGGTGACCATAAGGGCTGATTGTGCCATATCCTCGTGTGAACAGCTTATGAAATCTCCTTGTTTAGGAAGCCATTTGGTGTTATGCTTAATTTTTAATAAGCGCCCTATTTAGCTAGTGTATCATTCACAAATGTTTTTGTCACTGATATTTAAATTGTTGAGCAGGTTTGATTTTAGTCAGTCCGATAAAATAAAAGAAAGAAGCTACTGTAACAATTACTGAAACTGCTAGAAACCATTTTAGATGTGTGATTTTTGATATTTAGCCATGGTGTTGTCTTGACACTCGATTGGATCAACATGAACTCTGCATAAACTGTATAAAAACGTTCTAAGAGCTTTGTTGGTAAAGAGGAAGATACAAAAGACTTTGTCACGGTTTTCGACGCCATCTTGACGAGGATGCAAACGCGTGAGAAATTACAGACTGTTTGTATGAGAATCCAATGTCGAATAAACGGCTGTTCTGGAAAAAATATGAACTGTAAACTAAAGCTACACAGCAAAGGATTTTACCAACAAATTTTGGGGGCTGTTACTGTGCTTAAATTTCTCCAGAAGGCTTGCTTTAGATTTTCCATATATTTGTCTGCAATTTTTCCCGGGAAATTTTTACAGACGAATGTATAGAAAATTTAAAAAAAAGGTTCTAGGTCTTCTAGCGCATCTAACGCCCTCAAATTTTTTTCAGTAGAATCTTTAAGAGTGTAGCTTTAGTTTACAGTTCATATATTTTTTAAAACAGCCGTTTTACGGAAATTATTCGACATTAGATTCTCATACAAACACTGTAATTTCTCACGGGTTTGCCTACTCGTCAAGATGGCGTCGAAAACCGTGACAAGGTCTATTGTATTCTCCTCTTTACCAACAAAGCTCTTAGAACGTCATCAGATCCTTGCAGTGTCGAGAACTTATATTCTGTGGCATACACCTTTATTAGCATTCAACTAGTGAGACCAAATAACAACCACAACTTGCTACGAGATTCAGTTATATATAAGTAAGCTTGGTAATCTACTGATTTTCCGTATAATTACAAAAATTCTATTCATAAGCTATGTAGTCAAGGATGACTAAGCATGATACAGCACGTTCTAGAAGATTCTTGAACATTACATTTCAATCCTATCAGTTTTTCTTAAAATCAAATCCTGGAAATTTTACTAAGCTGGTGGAAAACGGAAGCTCTAGGAATCCGGAATCCCGCTAACGTTTGCCTTAATACCAGTGAAATTATAGACTTTGCAATCACTGGTATCCGCCTTACCGAAGGCCTGACGCACCTAATCGAACAAACCGAACAAAAATTTAAATCGAAATCAATCGAACTTAATCGTCCCATTGAATTCGATTGATGTACTGGGCAATCGAATAAAATCGAACACGGAAGTCTTTGTGAGTTCGATAATCGAACAAATGCAACATAATCAGCGAACGGAAACGTTCTATTTTGTTCGATAACCGAACAAATTCATTGTTGACTAAACCCAAATAGTAGACTCGATGTACCCTGAGAAAGACTGATAAGTGTAGCGAATACAAAGCCATCTGTTTCAAGGGGTCTTTTAGGCAGTAATTGACTTGGCTCAGACCAGCTGTCCTATTTTCCTTAAATTGGATAGTTTACCTATCCGGCTGTAAAGGAAAGCCCCACGTGTCTACTATGAAACTATCCAAATTTATTCTTAATTGGACAGTTGTTAAAAACTTAAAGGATAATTATAGCTTTGCTGATAATATCGGACTAACTATCAGCTATATAATTATATCAAATTTATTCAAGTGTTGATGTAGTTAGCTGCTACGAGGTATTTGAGAACACTGAGGTAATATAAACGAGTAAAATCTAACTAGTGGTCTATTATCAATGCTGCGTTCTGATTGGTTGAGCCACTATTAGTTCTATAAGTTATAGCCCACTAGTAGCGAAAAGCGCAGGCTTTGAAAACCAAAACCATGACGGTTGAATCGCGTTTTGCTAGCTAAAGTTGTTTTGTCTCGATATTTGTGACCAACTTTTTGGATGTTACTAAAACAATTATTCCTCTCTCTCTCTCATGGCCTCTGAGTCAATAGCCCATTCGGCCTTCGGCCTCATCGGCTATTGACTCAAAGCCCATTCGGGCTCCAGAAATAATTGTTAAATAGTTACCTAATCTAAGAGGATCTCAATGGGTGTAGTAGCTTTGCCGGTTGACGGTTAATTTTTCCCAACTTTGACGCCCTGACGAGCGATAAAATTTTAGAGCTTTTGACGGTTGACGGTTATTAAATGGAAATTTAGTGCAAGAGTTTCAGCAAATGTTAACTTCTGTATTAATTAATATTAAATGTTGTGTTTTGGTGGTTTTCTAGATCTTGGCCTTTTACTTTTGAAATTTCAAATATCTTCTGATATAAGCAAATTGTAAGGTCTTGTAATGGGAGACTGTTTTTAAGACCATGGGAACTGGTTTTTCCAGTTTAGAGATTCTTCAGGAGCCTGAAGTTCGTAAAGTTCAGCTGAAATAGTGAGAATAAAACTAGTACCTTGAAACGTTTTGACGGTTAATAATAATCTCCAATTTTGAAGGTTAACGGTAAAAAATATTACCTTTTTAGACTAATGGTCCTAAAGGTTAATGTTTAAGACCATTTGACGGCTGAAGGCTAACCTCATTGAAACCAAGTCTATTTGTAGCATACAATACTAAATTATTGTAACAGTTACGATAAAATCAAAATTAATATAACAAAAATATGTTAAAAGTCACTAAAATTTGCAAATTCTTCGTAAAAACCCTTCCAAAACATACTATAAAATGGTGAAAATATTTCTCAAATCTTAAGAGCTACGAACCACAGGAGCTGCGAGTGTCACTCGACAATTATTAGTTCAAACTAGTCTACAACTGCAACCGCAACTAGTCCGTAAAAGAACCACAGAATAGCAAACGGGTGCGTTGTTAAAACCTGCATTTTTAGCCAAAAATAGTTTTACATTTAACTCCTGGGTTGACTGCAAAAGGGACGTAAGTTGTCATGGTAATTATTAACACTGAAGATCCAGTAATTAGGGACCTTAGGCAACGACGACGACGACGGCGGCAGTGAAAACGTCCCTAAAAAAATTAATTTGTGTTCTTTCAAACTTGGACCCGCCAAAAATGTCAAAAGCAGGCGACTTTTCTTTGAGTTTAATTCTTAAGGATTTTATTCAGATTCAAAAAGAGGAAGGAAAATTCGTCGTCGTATGTCCATATCCTCAATAAAACGTCAAATTAGGGAGTTTCACATCGTAGTCGTTCAGTGGACGTCAAATAATGTATTAAAAAGCGTGATGCACGTGCAGAGCAGTTTTTTGATCATTAAACCTATTGTTTTCTGAAGTTGTCGTCGTCGTCGTAGTTGCTTAAGCTCCCTATTAGGGAACTTAAGAACCACGACAAAGTTCACGACGACGACGTCTGTTGACTGGGAAAAGACTGGAACGAGAACGTCAGTTTTGGCGGGAAAAAGGAAACTTAAGATGCAGTGGGTCGGTAGGTCGACGACGACGACACTGAATGTAAACACAAATGTATAACTGTGATTTTCGTTCGCAACAAAGTTTTCGCAATGGCGTCTTTTAAAATAATGCAAGATCTTATTTTTTTAAGCCGTACGTCTAATTTCATTGACGATGAAGAACTTTTTGCGTTGTCTGACCTTTTCGAGTGGAAAAACACCTGCTTTGTGTGCGAAGATTATTCAACTTTCAACCTGAATGAGATGACCGAGTCCGAGTGTCTGTCAGCGTTTAGATTTGGAAAAAAGACATTCTCATATGATAGCTGTTTTCCATATAAAATTTATTTCCTCTAGTAAAGATATATGATTTGCCTTACCAAAATGCGTACAAATAAATTTATCACTTACGAGTTCGCTCGCTCGGCCTCCACAGCTGTTGTCATTCTTCGAAGTAAAACCAATTCATTAGTCGAATTTTCAATCACCATCGCTTGTTAGGAGAAAAAAAAGGAACGATACCTGGACTTACGAGGATTAGAAAATGCAAAGGACTTCAAAAATCGCTTAAAACAGTGGAAAGCAGGACGACATGATTCTACTTTGTTTGGCGTCGTCGACGACACCACGACGACGAAATTTACTGGTCGCGCTTGCGCAGTACGCTGTAACTTACTTCCGGTCGTCGTCGTGGTTCCTAAGTTCCCTATTATCGTCCTGTGGACAACTCTGTCCAGATCAACTATGAACTATCTAAGGATTTCACGAACAAATCAATCAGCAGCTGGCAACAACAAGAAGAACAACTGCAGCAAAAGAAAAAGATATACAAAAAAAATGAAAACTAGTTGTACGCCTGAGAATGCTGAGGGCTATCTTTAACTTTAGAACAGTACAGGAAAGCCACCTAAATAAACCAATGAGTTCAGTGGCCGGACCAAAAGAGAGGCTGGATTTCTATAATCTGGATCCTGATCAGTAAAAACAACAAACTGAGGTCTCACGACGACTGAAAAAGAAAAACTTTAAAGTAAAAAAACAAACAAACAAGCAAACAAACAAACAAAAAACAAACCTAATGTTATTTGTGACCCACTCAGTTGTTCGAAAAACAAACCTTAATAATATAAAGGACAGCACTCTGTCTTGTTTATTTTGCCGGTTAGCTTTCATAGAAAGAAATTATGCTTTTTCAGACAGCATTGCAAGTATCGGATTCATTATTGAAATCAACTCTGAATGAAATCAATAAGGAAAATGAAAACTTTGCAGTCTTCTTGTTTTCAATGCAATTTCATTCAACTGGATTAAACTAAAAGAATCTACCTTAATTTAAATTGAGGTCGACGTACATAACCCGATCTATTTTCATCCTCAGTCATCACATTTAAAGTTAAGTTTTCAGTTGGATCCTCGAAGATGATAGTAGGATAGAATCCCTGTTCAAATTTCTTGTCTTCCCAATCACTCAAGGCTATTGCTTCAGTCGTGTTGAACCACCTGTAGGACTGCCTTTGTGGCATCTTCGTCATAACAACTAAATACTGCTCCAGCCCAGTTGAGTAACATATTCCAGTAATAACTTTTCCTTCTTTGTATCCCTCCTGTATTTCATCTCTTGTTTCTGTCCAGGTACTACGAGTAAACCACTTCTGCCCTTTTCCATCGTATTCCTTAGTGTCTTTTGTCATGACGATGTAAAATGTTGAATCTAGGGCAGCACATGAAGTTATTTTAAGACCGTCTTTCCCTTGTTTCTGTATATCATCCGTGCTTTCTATAATGACTTGTTTCGTGCCGTAGCCATCCATAAAGAACGCCCCGAACCCAAACTTCTCATCACAGGCAAGGGAGTATATGTTCTTTGACCTACCATTCACCCTTTTCCATTCCTCATCAGCGAACTCAAGAAACGAGTCGTAGTTTCTTGTAATTCCCCAAGATGTCGCAGGTCTTGGATTGTAAAGTTTTGAACTTGCAAAAATTCCTGAGAAGAAGCCATCATGCATGCTCTGGGAAATCAAAATGTCTTGGCTATTTAAAACATGGCTACTGATAAAATCAGTGTAATCAACGGTACTATATTCATAGGTGATGGGGAAGTCATCTCTATTTTCGCCACTATATATGGGCTCTGTTCTTGGCCGTAGTTTCTTTCCAGTCATGTACAGTGTTAGATCTCCTCCTTCATCTACAAATAATTTGAAAAGTGCAGAATGTCAGTAGAATAGAAGCCCGATATAACGAACCCCTATATAACGAAGTCATTGGTATAAAGAACCCTAATAATGCAGTCAGTCCTCTCCACATCGGCCAGGCCACCTTGGGGTAAAGTGGCCTTTTGTGGAGAGGTGGCCGTGATGGGGAGGAAGGAGTGAAACAAGACAATTTCTTTAGGGGGGTACATCATGTTTATTGTGCCAAGTTCATGCTTACTATATTCCATAATGGTAATCCAGTCATAAATGATATTTATAGGTATAAAATACACAAAAAAACCTAGATAGTACTAAATAAAAGTCTTGAATGAAAAATGATAAACCGAGCAAGTCTCGCAACATTCGCCATAAGTATTGTACTAGACAATTTAAGCCTACTGCAGCAAAATAAATAGAGCACGTACAGTGAACATAAGATTGCCATTAAACATCGACGCGACATATGGATCAAATTTCACGACCATTTCTGAATTTTCCGGCAGTCGCTGAAAAAAATGGCCGTTTTCGAGAAGTTATTTTGGCAGCTGGGGACTCGCTTTAGTGATCGTTGGCGTCGTAGCGAGGTTTAAACAAGAGTCAATTCATGGACTGCTGTCCGTCGGGACCAAAAAAAAGGCCATGGTAGAGAGGTGGCCGTTAGTGGAGGTTCGATTGTAGTAAAATATGTGGAAAAGAACCTCGATATAACGAAACCTCGTACAAATACCGGTGGAATCTCGTTATAACGAAGGACCAAGTAAGTGGTATTATTAAACATTGAACTCACTATCTCTTTTCTGATTGGCCGAAAGCGTACAGTGAATTTTCGAAATCAGCGCCTGGGACGTCATCTAGCTGCAGATTACACAATAATCAAGTCAAGGACACTCAAGGTCACAGGTAATCATGTCATGTATGATCGCGGTGCATGATTTCAAAGGGTAATCATGTCAAGTTCGTGCGCTTTGTGTTGCTTGCCGTTAGTGAAGAAGCAAGAACATGACTTCCAGGTTTGCTTTGTTAACCGAGCAAGACACCGAAAATGTAGTTGAGGACGAGGACTCACAAACACAAAACGATCGACGAAGGTGGCAAAGGAGCTGTCTGCTGATTACGTGAAAGAGAGAAAACTGAGAAAACCTGAGGAAAAGAAAGAGTTGGCACAAACTTTGAAAACATGTTATGTCGAGGCGAGAAAGAAAGGATTCGTTCAATGTATAATAAAACAATTATTAGATTTGGTTTTTAATAATAACCTGATAGCCCCTACCTCGACCTTAATTATTCTGGATATCACAAAAACCTCATCCAATAATCAGTGTTTAAAATTTGTTCGCCATAACGTCGAGGTGTCGTGATATTGTGCTTTCTCTTCATAGATGATTTACTATTAATAACAACGGGTTGAAAACAGAATCGTTCGTTATACCGAGGGTGTCGTTATATCGAGGTTGCACTGTATAGCGAACAAATTTTGCCAATCCCTTGGCCCTCTGTTAAATCGAGTTTCCTCTGTAGAATCACGGCTGGCGTTTCCCATGGCTTAATGGCAGAAGCTTTGTTTGAGTGGATACTTCGAACTCGTGCCGGCGCCACTGGCGTACGCCTAATATAATTTAACTGGGTGTTTCATATTAATTAAAGCATGTGAATCATACACACCTTTGGTATCAAGAGCCGTTGAGTACTCCGGACATGCTGCTAGGCAGTGGAAACCACCAATACTTTTGTCAAGACAGAAATTTGCCCAGTGACCACTGTAACAGGCATCACTGAATATCAGTGGGTAATAACAGCCACCAGGCACCATGCCAAAAATGTCTTGAATACTGACTGTCCCATCCGCAAAGCACCAGTTTCCAGTACCAATTTCACCATGCCCTGTATAGTACAACATAGGCTTGGCGTTTGTGTCCTTGCATTTTTCAAAAAGCAAGGTGACATGTCGAAGAGCTGCGTGCTTAGTGAGATAAAGATCTTTAACAGTGTTATACAGCTTTGATCCAACTACATCTTCCATGTTGACTAAATCACGAGTCACACCAGCTAAAAATGCACCATTCCTATCTCCTTGTGCATCCCGAGTTCGTCTCTTAGAAATTCCAATTTCCTTAGGTGGATCTGTGGCACCTGAGAGGAGGAGCCAAAGTGGTTTCCGGCTTGTCGGGTTCCACTCTGACCACCGATCGATTCGGCCAACACATGGTCCCTGTGCAATTGCTGAGCCAGCAAATCCAGCAATCATCTTCTCTATATTGTTTCCCACCAGTGTATAAAATACTGTTATCAATGGGGTCCTGTATAAAATAAATAAATAAGATAACAAGTAAAAGATGAAAAAGATAAAAATAGGATAAGCTGTGACAATACGATAAAATCAGAGGCACCCAACGACTGTTTTCTATAAAATATCTGTTCGGAGAAGAAACAGTTTTCTAGAATTTTCTAAAGCTTGAGAAAGGGTCGTAAAAATTTCTAGATGACGGTTCCATTCATGTACAATTTTCGCAGTATAGCTAATAAATTCCCTACGATTTTCTAAAGATAATTTCGGCATTTCAGTACCCAATTTACATATTTTTCGCAGAAAAAGGAATCCTAAAATTTTCGGATTCAAAAATCCGATGGAGTGAAGAATCAGAAAAGTTCTCACTTTCGTAAAACTTAAAATTGCATCTTAAATTTTTCCGAGAAAGTAATACTGAGCTAAGTATTATTTTCCCGGAAATTTTAAGTTTCACCAAAGTGAGAATTTTTCTGACTCCTCTCTTCATCGCATTTTTTGAATCCGAAAATTTTCGAGGCCCTCGTCATTTCGAGAAGACTCAATTGCAAGTTGCCCTAGGCCGACCGAACAGAGAGAAATATTTTATAGCAGCGCTTAGAATCCATTTCCTAGAGGTCTACAAGTATTCTAGATAGCCTAAAAAGAGCTTTCCTCCGAAGCATTTATAAGGAAACCGTAGCGAGGTGCTCCTGATAAAATACTAAAAGACTATAACTATCTACTGTGGGTAAAAAGATGAACATTTTTGCGTTCGACGTTAGGAGAACGCAACAAAAAATCTTGGGATTCCTGTGGTACTCAAGGGAGACAGTTTTGTGGTAATCATTTCGTCATACGTCTGCATTTTCTGCGCCATCTTGAATAATTTATCTCGCTGGGCACAAAATTGTTAAATACAATTAATTTGACAAACGCTCACAGCAATGGTTGCGTGGAGCAATGAATAATGCGTCACCATTACACGTCGAAGGTCTCGGGTTCGTTTTGACGGATGATACTTTTTTCTCTTTTTCGTGGTCCTTTTGTTTTGTTTTGTTTCTTTTTTACAAAAACATTTAGGAAGCGTTTCGCAGCATCAATTTATTAGCAAATAACGTCACATTTGACAGTAAACCTAAAAAGGCACGAGCGCACTTCCGAATCTGAGATTACTACTAGTATAGATTAACTAAACTGTGCTTTAGGTGCTTTCTTTAGGCAGTTTTACTGAACATCATTGTTTCTTGTAGATTTTGAATGATAAAGTCTTTCAAAATACGTTTGCAATTGACGGACGTTTCAGACTACTACTGTTGTCATTAATTCTTAAACATCGACGTTCTATATTCTTTATCAGACTTTTGGGTGTCTGACCAACCAAGACCAAGTCATCCGCAGTATGTGAAAATTGGTAGAATCATAGTGTTGTAGATTATTTCAGCACATTTTTGATCGATGGACGGGTGCATTGATCATAAAAGTATAAAAGCTTAACTCTTCCTGCTGCTCTCCTGTAAATTTATCAAAATATGATGTAAGGTTCATCGGGTTTCGGTCTAGGTCGACGCCCAGGTTTTATAGGAAAACGTATTTGTATTTGCATGTGCCTTAACAGAGATGATCAGTCCTTTCCTTGAAGGTTTTTTGATTATAATTTGAGTTCCGAAAAGCATACTCTCAGTCTGCCCTTTTTCGAGGTTGATGATCAGTTCACTTTCTTCAAACCTGAGTGAGATAAATTGTTTATGTCTTTCACTAAGGTTTCTTTGGATCGTATCAATGTCACTTCTTGAAGAAGTATAAATTACAAAGTCATAAATCTGGTTGAGCTTCTGATAACACTCCTTTATACTGAACAACCTGTGATCTACAAGAGGTAATCAATGAACCGTTTCAGTGCTGTTCCGTGGATTCCATAGAATGGAATCAGCGAGACTTATAGTACCAAAAGCCTTGGACAAATCAATAAATACACAGCCTGTCAAATTTCCATTTTCAGCTTGTTTTCTGATGGCATCAGTAAAGTGAGTAACTGTACGCTAATTCTCTGCAGAGCGATTACGACGGAAGCCTTACTGAAACTGAGAGAGCAAGCCATTCCGTAATCTGCTACGCAGCCGTTTTGATTGTCATTACGCAACGCTCCTCCCCACAAGAGCGTTGCGTGCATATCATTTTATGTCGAGGAATACGGAAAGATGTGACCACGGAATTTATTGCTCTGTACAGGTCTTTTCGGTAGACGCCTTTGTTGCTAGGTTCGATTACCAGCCGCTGTTAGAGAAAATTAGCCCGCACTCACCCCCCGGGGAGGATCAATGACTTGTCAAAGACCGAACCCGGGAGACGGCAGAAATTGAGCCTAGCTACTTTGTTGCTTGAGACAGTGACAATCAAAAGACGAGAAAAAAAAACGTATAAGCGGAAATTATCTTGCCTATCAGCAAATAATAACCATAAGCCGTGAGAGCGTTCAAAACAAACTTTTTTTATTTGGAATCAGTTTCAGAGACAGTTTCAAGTTAATATTAAGATCAATCGGATTTGAGTTTTTTTTCTTCTTCAAAACGTTATATCGAAATTTTCTTGTTTCTATTTGGAGATCAGTTGTGGCCGGGGATAATTTGCAGTTGTTTTTTTAAAGATGGCGGATAGTTCGAGACTCTTTTCTAATAACAGCAAATAATGGTGTCATCATGACATCACTTTATCAAATTTCCTGATTTTCTCAGAGACCTTACTACAAATTTTCGTTTCGAGGGGAAACATTGATTGGATCTGCCAATAAATTTATCAATATTATGAAGTCAAATATGACGTCAAATTACGTCATGGTGTCAGTCAAGTTTGCCTAGATGTTGGAAGTGCCCTGCAATTTTGGCGGCCGTATCACGAGCGGGTTTTGATTAAAGAAGGCCTCGGCGAACCCCCACCCACCCACCGGTTGCAAGATGCAAAAAAGCTCGGTCTCTACAAGGTTAAAAAGGGCTAGCAGAAATCTTGGACAGGGTCATGGTTTCAAGGCCTCGGTGTCCCTTATCTACCAAAACTTCCCTTGAGTGCTGTGGAATCCGGAATCAGGAATACAGCTCAAGGAATCCGGAATCCCCCAATCAGATTGGAATCACGAATCCAAAAACCACTGACAAGGTCTTGAATCCAGTTTTAAGACATTCTTGGGTTCCCTTACATGGGACGTGCCTTTGATTAACTTAATGCATCCAGGCAGTAAAAACGATGTTTTAAAACGCCGGAAATGGTACAACTTTGAACGTAAGATGAGACAATGTATCTCCTCCTTGTATGATACAGTTCTAGAAAACACTTCTCGTTTGGATTGATCATGAGAGTGTATGCGTTCTTTCAAACCAATTGTTTTAATAGTTCCAAATATGTCAAAAGATTTCTCAGGTATTTTTTTTTTACTATATTCACCGGATACAGAACTAAAATGCCTGCTGACTAATCCGTATTGCAATTTGAAAAAGCGGGATGCAATGTCATTCGGGCGTCGATAAAACTCGGAAAACGGAACATTCAGGAACACGCCGGAACACTCCGGAACATTCCGGAACATGAAAAAATAAAAATAATTTTCATGAAAAAAAAAAACATATATATATATTTTAAAATTCATAATGACCAAATAACATAAAATAATTAAAAATAAAATTCCTTCTTACTAATTCGTTTTGAAATTTTAAAAAGGGGGATTCAAATTTAATCGGGGGTTAATAAAAACCGGAAAAAGGAAAATTCAAGAAAACACCGGAAAACTCCGGAACATTCCGGAACATGAAAAAATAAAAATAATTTTCATGAAAAAAAAAAAACATATATATATATTTTAAAATTCATAATGACCAAATAACATAAAATAATCTCAAATAGCAAAAAAAAAAATTAAAAAAAGAAAAACGAAAAAATGTCACCTTCGAGTATGAGAAAACATTATTTTGTTGCAATTGATTTGTGGCGCGAGTGAGGGTCCATGCAAATGACAGTAATGAGTGAGGGCTTGTCTCTAAATTCAAAATATATTAAAATGGGTTGCGAGGAAGGGGGTTTTGAAGCTTTCCTAACACAACCACCTCTTGTAATTGTTTGCCATGCGGTTTAATCATTTGACGGTTATGCATTTACAGCTTTGCGACCGTAAGAAGAGCTTAGGGGCACGTGGCTTAGGACTTTTTAGTGGATAAGATTAACATTGGCCGTTAATAGTTGCAGTGGCCGTGGTAGCGCAGTGGTAGTTTCTAACTGTTATCAGTTAGACGGAATTTTAGCCGTCTCCCGAGTCGCAAGTAGAGTTTGCGTCTCGACGAGATGGCTGAAATTCAAACTAGATCACAGTCCCCTATGTTTTTCCGCCAAGTTGAAGATGGCGATCGCTGCTGTCAAAGTGATTTGGGTACCCTCTGACGACAAAACTGGTGAGAGCGAAGTTATTTGACAGATAACTTTTGCAATCTATTTATCTGCTAATTCAAATGGTTTGCTAACGTGTTTGTTGCTTTGAATTTTGTGACTTTACTGGATTTTAGTGAGCAATAGACTACAAGCAGTCTCTCTTTTTTCTGTAGTCTGTCGAGCAAAACGCGAGACACGCAAATGGCCACGCGCGGGACTGATGGCGCGAGACGGGAGAGGCACGAAAAAAGAGAGACTACCCGCAAAGCAAGAGAGAATGGTCTTTCACTGTCTAGTGATTTTTTGGCGTCAAAACTGAAGTGCTGACAGGCCAGGCATGTGAAACGTGCCCTTAGAGTTTGCTTGAACAACAGAGGTTTTCCTACTTTTCTTTATAAAGCGCAGCTTATGCAGTTCAAAGAGTTAGAGTCGATTCTAAGCTAATTGACTGAGCAAATCTTAATTTTGGCCGCTGGTCTCACATTTAGAGGTCAAGAAGCTGGTCTATTTCTCTTATATCAATAATTCATTTCCTGTGCTTTATGTTTTGAATGAGATCACCCGTGGCC